CGAGCCCCCCCCAGCCAGTACAGCTTGGCCAGAGACCACCTCCAAGAACCATAACGAGGCTGTTCATTTGTTAGAGAGTCCGTCTTTGCTTCAGGATTGCCTCCTCCTTAGCCCACCCCGCCCACACCTGCTTTTCTGGGTGCCTCAGGGTGTCTTAGGACTGACCTTCTGTGACCTCACTGTCACCCTGACAGCTTGGCGCAGTGCCCACACCTGCTTTTCTGGGTGCCTCAGGACTGACCTTCTGCGACCTCACTGTCACCCTGACAGCTTGGCGCAGCAGGCCGGGCACGCACGCACAACCTCTTACAGATACTGTTGGGTTTTGAGGCAACTTAGAGGACTTATCCGTGCCCTATATTTTCATGTACCCCAGGAACTTTGAGCCACAGAAAGTTTCAGGTTTTTGTGCAGAGACCACGTTGTCTCCAGAATCCTAGGCCGGCCTTAGGGAAATGCTGTCAGGACCAGGGTGAGCATGTCCCAGTGAGGTGTCTCCTGTTTCTCAACAAAGCCAAACTGGGATCTGAGAAAACACCGCCACTATTTCAGGTATTCCCTTCTTCTCTACACGGCACCTTTTGTGTTTTTTCCGTTTTCCAAGAACGTATTAATAAGGCTTTGGTGGGCCAGCTGGTGGTGTGGTGGTTAAGGCCGTTGGATCCCACATGGCCAGCTGCCTGGTTCGAGACCAGACCTGACAGCTTGAAAAACACACTGGCGGGACCAGCAGTTAGAGTAATGACTATGTGGCTGGACTCCCATGTAGTCGACCGCAGTTCGCGTCCCGGACCCGGTGGCTTAAAACCTACCTAGTGCGTGCATGCCCAAGATCCCGAGAGGAGAATGGAGGAGAAGGGATTGCAGCGTGGCCATCTCCCCTCCAGTGAGCACATTTGCCCCACAGCAAATTACAACAAATAAAAATAAACCATTGGCAATGACTCCACAATTGTGGGGCCTCGTCGCTGGGCTCACCCCTTAGATAAAATACCCAGGAAAGTCAGTATTTGTTCTGCTTCCGGTGGTCACTGTATGGCAGCTGTGGCCTGAGTTACAACAGGAAGAAAAACGGGAGTCTTCAGCGTCTAGAGTATTAACCTTTCTAAAACCAAGGGTTACTTTGTTTGGGCTGCATTCTAACCCCCACGTTTTGGGACCTCACTAGATGTAAAAGGAATTACAGGGTGCGCCCTTTTATTGTCCCAAGAGAACCTTCCAGGCGAATGTAGTGAAGGCTAAGGAACAGCCCCGTGTAGTTTCCTGTCAGGTTTGTAGCCTCCAGGCATGTGTGGTTTTTCCATCCTTTCTCTGTGACACTGCAGTAAGTCCACAGAGAGGAAGAAAAGGGTATTTCCTACAGTTTAGCAGGGTTGCCCTAGGATGAGAAGAACTTTCAGTCCACTTGTGTAGCGAGCAAGACCTGTGAGAGACAGGGCCTCCCCTCCAGACGCGCCTGCTGACGAGACGCTTTCCTCACAGAGACCCCGTGCTTGCTGCCCTTGGGACCAATGCCCTCTTCCCAGACTCTGACCCTCCACAGAGGGCACCCGATGACCGTACTCCCTGCGCTCAGACCACAGGGAAGCAGACCCCAGCATAGCAGGTGGCACCTGCAAACATCTGCCCCTGTGCCCTTTCCCTAGAGGGAGAGACAGCCTGGTCCGTCCACCCTTCCGACTGTCTCTCTCCTTTTCCACTTTCCAAGGTTCTTTTCCACAGCACAGATTTGTATTCACGAAGCGAGGTGTTTGTCCTGGTCAGGGTAACCCTTACCTACAACCAACACTCAATACACGACTCAACTAAATTGGAAAGATGGACTATTCATTAAACATACACACATTTTATTGACTAGAAATTAGTGTTCTCCCAAATGAAATTACAGTCTCGGTAGATTGATTTTTATTATCTGAATGATTAAATTTGACTAATTCCCATTATTAAATTTCAACTCACTTAGCAGAAAAGAAAAGCATCTGTATTAGTATGATAAAATGCAACATTTATTTTTAGTTGTAATTTTTTTTTTTTTTGGTCAGTGCGCGTGCACTCGCTGGAGAGAAATGGGGGAGAAAGTGAGAAATCACACCCCCCCCCAGGAGAGATGGCCATGCCACAATCCCTTCACCTCCAGTCTCCTAAGGTTTGGGCACACATGCACACAGGCCTGGCATGATTCCCAAGCTGCTGTGTCTGGGAGCTGAATCACGATCGGCCATGTGGGAGTCCAGCGCCTCAACCACCACACTACCTGGTGGCCCCTACTTATATATATTTTTTTTTGTGGGGGGAGGTTTTTGCTATAGGGCATGTGCGCTCGACAGAAAGACGCAGAGAGACAGAAAGCGAGAAATCACCCCCCGGGGGTGGGGATGGCCACGCTGCAATCCCTTCTCCTATATTTTCCTCTCAGGATCTTGGGCATGCATGGACATGCACCCTGCATGAGTTTAAGCCATTGGGTCCAGGACTCAAACCCTGGTCGACTACATGGGAGTCCAGTGACATAGCCATTATGCCAACTGCTGGTGCCTAGTTATAATTTTTTAAAGAACAGATTTCTCTGGTGAAGTGTGTCAATAAAATATGTAGGAAGGAAGACAAATTTATAGATTTTCTTCAGTCTGGAAGAAGTAAGGTGTCAAATTTTATACTGGGGTCAAGCTACCATCAAAGACTTGATAGATACAGTGGTTATAGATTGTGCATAGCTGGGAATGTAACAAAGTGAGTTTTCAGGAAATGTAAAGAAACCATCTGTTCAGTAGATCTCTCACATCAGCAGTTCCTAGAGCTATCCACTCAAAATGTGGGAGTCTGAAAAGAATGATATGTTTCCAGGCTGCCCTCTGTGACCTGGTGTATGTTTGACTTACTGAAGAAAATCAACTCTAATCAAAATTAATACTAACAATAAGTTTATTTTAAAAGGTCCCTGGGTCAGCTGGTGGCATGGTTGTTAAGGCAGTTGAATCCCACATGGCCAAGTGTGCAGTTCAAGTTCCAGACCCGGCAGCTTGAAAAAAAAAAAAATGCTGGGCACGTGGGCATGGATGCCCCAAATCCTAAGAGGACAATGGACAAGGGAGTGCAGCTTGACTGTTCTCCCAGGGCGGGGGCTGATTTCAGACTCTCTCTCTCTCTCTCCCTCTCTCATCCCCTATAGCAAACTGGAGGAGGAGGGAATAAAAGTTCCCAGCCATATGACCATGACCGTGGCAGAGAACTATAATGGGGGTGTGTGCAGCGAGCGCCAGTTAGGGCTGATTCACAACAGGCACTACATGAAAGCGTGGTCTCGCGTGGACTGTGACTCACACCGTATCCAGATAGCCTATCAGGCTGCCTCATTCCGAGTGGGAAGAAATTGGCAATCAACCCTAAGTTAATGAGCGTTCAAGTCTACGTCTGTAACTAACTTTCCAACTCCAGTGACAGAATTTGATACTTTATTCCACCCAGAGCACCTGTAGCAAAGCCTTGCCTTTGGTAGGCATTCAATAAATATCGTTTGATTGTATTTGTTTTCATAGCTTTGATGGTGTTTAAAGATGAGCAGCTCGGGACCAGCAGTTAGCGTAATGGCCATGTCGCTGGATTCCCCCGTAGTTGACTGCGGTTTGAGTCCCAGACTCAGTGACTTAAACTCACGCTGGGCGTGTGTGCATGCGTGCCCAAGATCCCGAGAGGAGAATGGAGGAGAAGGGATTGTGGCATGGCCATCCCCCCTGGGGAGTGATTTCTTGCTTTCTGTCTCTCTGTCTCTCTCTGTCTGTCTGGCAAACGCACACGCCCTATAGCGAAAACCTCT